ACCCATTGTACCCCTCATGACAAGCGGACGCTAGTATTTGCACAGTGTCCTGGTAGGCGGAGCCACGAGGACCCGACCAATCATCGTCCTTTATCTCACGAGCAATTATCCAATCAACGTTATCCTGGGAGCGAGCGAGAGGCAGATCCGCGTCGCTGATTGGCCGTCGGCATATCAAAGCCCTCCATCACGCTTGGACGGGATGCGAAGAAGAAAAGCTTCCATTGTGAGCTTAGTGTCGACGCGGAGACGGTCGCCATCAACCACGAGAGTCATTGTGATTTTTTAATTGTGTTTTGTGTTCTCCTGGAGACCGTGAGAGAGTGACAATTGTTTTTAGCAAAGACTTCTGCTCCGCCACCATCCTCTACAACGCCACAATGCTCGACCAGGAGCTCTTAACCAAGGGAGGACTAACCGACGGCCAGCAACAGCCGCCGCCGCCTCACCTCACCAATCCGTACTCACAGTTTCAACAATACCAACAGAGCATGGCCGGCTACAACAACGTCGGCTACGGATTCCCCATGTACACCCAGAACGGCTACGGCTACCCGCTCTCGGGCTACCCACACGCCCCTAGCCCTCCCTCAGACGGTAAGTCAACCCCTCCAAAAGACGCCCCGAGTCCACCCCTAATCACCAACAAACGCAGAAAGAGATTGGAGTAATCGGGTAATCGAGAAATCTCAATCGAAGGGAAGAGGGCGGCACATCGCGGCATTGTCGGGTCGCAGCGGGCGGTCTGTCGGGCGGCGCGCGGGCCACTCTGTCGGCGGTGTCGGTCGGACGGATCATTACGGCGATATGATCCGTGTGGGTTCTCGGCCGGCCGCCACGACCTCTTTATCCGCTCTGCTTTTCGCTCTTTCGCTCCTTTTCGGCCGGTTTTGGGGCGGGAGGCGAATCTCCGGGGTTTTGTGCGCTAGAAGGGGGATTTGGTGTGAGATTCGGGCGCAGTTTTGTTCCGTCTTGAGCGATATAAAGTTAATCGTCTTTATTCGATGTGGCCGAGTAGGATAGACTTCGTAAATATGTTCCTTGCTTCTATAACGCGAAAGTGAGATAAAATGAGAGAGAAATCCTGAAAAAAGAGAGAGAATAGGCCAAGCAGAGAGAAAAAAAAGGAAGGAGAGAGATAAAAAGAGAGGAGAAACAGGCGGCGAGTAAGGTCAGTCTCGCAAATTGTCTCGACCTTGTCTTGGCGATTCCGTCAGCGTCTTCTCCTCGCCTTGTTCTTCTTCAGGGATTTATCACGTTCTCTTCCTCTTCTTCTCCTTCCTTAGCGTCTCCTTCTCTCTGTTTCCGTTCTTCGTGATCTCTGTCTCCTCGGCCTTTGTCTCTCCTTCGATCACATCTATTCATCCTCTAAGTCAATTTCTCGCTATTTCCACCTTATTAACATTTATCACATCTCCTCTTTCTCCTCCTCTTCCTCGGTCGCTTCCTTCTTCCTCTCCTCCCCTCCCTCCCATCAATTAGGGTAACGGAATCATCATCATTATCATTAACCTCATTAAAGTAAGTACATAATAGCTAGGACTCAACAATGTGACTTTTGTTTACATTTTGACGAAGAGGCGGAGGCGCGTGGATGTAATATATTTTTATTTTTTTTTTCCATTTTCCTAGATTCTTTTTTTTTTTTTTTGTCTGCTTTATCTGATTATGGCCTGTTATCTGATTTATCGTGATTACTCTACCGTTGGGGAGATGAGATTACTTTTTGAGGGGGTTTATATATTTTTTATTTTCTGTTTGAAGTCTGATTTCCTTTTTTTCTGTTTTCCTTTTTTTCTCGTTTTTTGTTATTATTATTATTCTTTTTTATCTCTCTCTGTCATTTCACTTCGATGCGTCAATCAGCCTGGAAATGCATCAAATATATATGTGTTTAATAAACCGATGCAAATGAACCAAACGGGAGAGAAATTAAAAAGTTCTTTGATATCATGAACACGAAATTTTGATAATAATAACCCGGATTTTAGAGCAATCAGAAAATCGGAAGACGCGAGATTTCTCAAGATGTCGCCGGCACTTTGTCTCCGTCGGCAGCGGGGACATCGGCGACTGTCTCGAAGAAAAACGAAGATATTTACGGAGAGAAGAAGGAATATCTTTATCGTCAAGGAGTTTAACGTCTATCGGTTTCTTATTTTTTTATTTTCGTATTTGATTTTTTGAAATAGATTTTCGAAAGATTTTTTTTTTCGTTTTTCTTCGCCGCCGCTGACCTTCCTTCCCCTCCTCCTCCTTCCTCCCCCTCTGCCTCTCTTCCCCCTTCTCTCTCTCTCTCATTTCCTTCGCTTTATTATCAAGAGGATTTTGTGATTTTATCAGCCATGGTTATAAAACGATATGCTGGATTTTTAAAATACATTTTCTATCATTTTATCAGTCCTATTCAAGAAATTCCTTTTCGCCGACATTTTATTTTCGAAAGAATTAGCAACGCTTTCATCTAAATATTCTCCCCACTAACCTATATATAAAAAGAACTTATTTCAACCCTCCTTATCTCTTTTCCTTTGGTAATTTACTCTCACCTTTTTATTATTTTCATTATCGCATTTTCTCATCGTCTCTCGCCCCCTCTTCGCGGCGATCGGGACAGGCGGAATCGGCGTCACGCGGCTTGACAGGCGCCGGAAAATGCCGATGTCAGACGCCGGTCGCTTTCTGTGCCGCCGACGTGTTCTGCGTCTCCGGGTTCTTTGATTTTGGGTTTTATTTTTTGTTATTTGTTTTGGTTTGGTTGTATTTTTGTTTTTTTTTTTTTTTTTTTTTGCTTTTTTTCAGGGGGGAGGGATTGTTTTTTTTTTTTTTTTTTTAGATTATTAGATTTTTCTTTGGTTTTATTTCGCTCTTGATAATTATTTCTTGATTGTCTCTCTCTCTCTCTCTCTCTCTCTCTCTCTCTCTCTCTCTCTCTCTCTCTCTCTCTCTCTCTCTCTCTCTCTCTCTCTCTCTCTCTCTCCCTTTCTGCTTCTTCTCCGCACTTCCTCCATCCTTCTCTCTCCTTCCGAACTAACGGAATAACAAGACAGGACCAATAGTGATCCCGAGAGCCGATCAATTAATCAAAACTTAATTAAGCGATGCGGTGTCACGGTCGTTAGCGAGTAAACGACCTTTCTCGGATAGCTAACGAGCGAACGACTTGTTTCCGTCGTTTTTCAAATCTAGATGTCGTTAACGGTCATTGGCTTTGAATCCGCAGATGATCGTTTTAATGATGATGATTAAGAGATTGATTTTTTAAAAATGTTTTTTGGGAAAATGTTTACGATGATCATGATTTTGATGTTTCTGGCACGACTGTCGCTACGAGTGATATTACTGATAAAAGATAATTAATTGGGGTGATAGCGATAAAAGGCTTGTATGATAATTATATTAATGATTATGGTTACGGTAATACTTGTATCGTTGAAGCTAATAATAATATTGATACCGCCAATACTAATACTAATGATGATAATAATGATAATCACAATCATGATAGTAATGAGGATAATGATAGTTATGATGATAAGTATTAATAACAAGAGTTAGATTGCTAATAAAATGATACTTACAAATAATAAACAACACACGTAGTTTAATATCTGACGCCGAGATGGTTGTTCTTACTCCTTTTTACCGAATCGATCTCACCTCATTCCATCTCGCTTTATCTCGCGCGCACATTCGTTCTTGCATAACAAAAAGAACAGATGAACATAAATCCATTCACCTATAGTACAACCCCTTCCCCTCCCCCCCCTGCCGCCCCCTCTCCCCCCTCCCTCATCTTCGCCTTCGTTCAAAGTGTTATTAAATCTATCAATTTTTATTAGGCGCCAATGCGAGAGTGACTGCCGCCGTGTTATTTAGCGAATTGTCATATATAGTTTTTGATTTGTTTGGGCTTTTAGGGCGTTATTCAGGGACCGGCTGTGAGCGTTTCGTTATTGTTATTTGTCTCTTTGGCGCTCCTTTATGGCCTTGTTCTTTGTAGGTTGTGTGTTCTTGGCGCCGGCTGTTATTGCCTATTCATTTTTCTTCTTTATATTGTTTTTATGATTAAGATAAATGTATATGTATGTATAGCCTATATATACAAATACACATATATTTGTATACATATATATATATATATATATATATATATATATATATATATATATATATATATATTATATATATATATATGTGTGTGTGTGTGTATATGTGTATGTATATATTTATATATAAGACAGCGCATATATATATATATATATATATATATATATATATATATATATATATATATATATATATATATATGTATATATATATATATATGTATATATATATATATATATATATATATATATATATATATATATATACTATATATATATATATATATATATATATATATATATATATATATATATACATACATATATATATATATATATATATATATATATATATATATATATATATATATATATATAAACATAATAATAATATTATTTATAACAATAATGATAATTATAATGCTGATATATACTATTAGTGATAGTAAAAATAATGATAATAAAAGCAATAATATCAATGATAGTAGTAACAATAATGATAATAATGATAATAATAATAATAATAATAATAATAATAATAATAATAATAATGATACTAATATAATACTAATAATAATATAATAATAATAATAATAACAATAACAATAAAAATAACAAGAATAATAGGTTAAAAAAAATTAATTAACCGATGCCCAGCCTTACTTCGCCCCTCACTCACCTCTCCCCCTTTCTCCCCCACAAACAGTGACCGAGAAGACCGAAGGAGGGGAAGTGAGGGTAACAGCCAAGGGGAAGAAGATCCGCAAGCCACGCACCATCTACTCTTCGTTGCAACTTCAGCAATTGAATAAAATGTTCCAGAGGACACAGTACCTCGCCTTGCCGGAACGCGCTGAGCTGGCAGCCAAGCTCGGTCTCACGCAAACACAGGTGAGGTTTTGCTTTGTTTTGTTTTGTTTGTTTGGGGGTATTTGTGGGGTTTTATTTTGTGTGTTTGTTTGGTGGGTTTTTATTTTGTGTGTTTGTCTTTTTTAGATTTTTTTAATGGTAGGGATTTTGGTAATGGTTTTGATTAGATTTTTTTGGGGTGAAGTTTTGTTAATATTTTTTATTTGTTCGTATTTCTTTTGTGTTTATTTTTCTTTCTTTGCTTTAACGGATTTATTGGGAAGGAATTTAATTAAAAGATTAATATGTCATTAGCGCGTGAATTATTTTGTCTATTTTTCAAGAGATAACGCTTTTGGTAATATTGTTAAAATTTTAAATCGGTTTGTTTGACCTTATATCAGTAGTCTTATATCAAATAATTTTCTTTTATTAGTAAGCCGTAAAATAATTTGCTTCGGTGTATTTCCACTTTTATTGCCCTCCAGATATGGTGGATATTTTATTTCATATATACAACAAATAATAGATTTAGGGAAACTGCTGAATGATACTGATAATATATCTGATAATCACAATAATGATATTTAATGATACGAATAATAGTGACAAAATTAGTGAAAATAATAATAGTATAGTTATAAGAATGATGATAATAATGATAGTAATAACAGTAATATTAGTACTGATATTGATATTAACAATAATTGTAATAATGATGATAATATTAACAATAGTAATTGTTGATGATTTTAGTAATGATGATGATGCTAAAGAGAAAGTATTATTTATTATCAATTTTCATCATGTTTTTATTAATCTCATTCTTATTTCAATTATTCCTATTACCTCAAAATGGAGATCTTCTATTTGCCATATTTTCTCGGTAATATTATTATTGTTATCATTGATATTGCTATTGTTATCAATATTGTCATTATTATTGTTATTATCATTGCTATTACTGTTATCATGATTATTTTTGTTATCAATTTTATCGTCATCATGATCTATTGTCTTTATCATGTTCATTGCTATCCATATATGAATTATGAGTATTTATGTAGATAAATATAGATATAGATAAATGAATATATATATATATAGATAGATAGATAGATAGATAGATAGATAGATATAGATACTGATACATACACACGCGCACACACATATATATGATATTCAGTCTCTCTTTTGCAAATTTGTTCGCTAAAATTTAAACAAGTGCACAGCCTTGTCAATTTAATGAGTAAGACCTTTAAAAGAAGTACATTTTTCCTCTCAATAAAAAGGTCTCATTCGCGATCAGTCAAATATTTGGAAACTGTCGAGCGATTGAGTGAATAGCGCGACAGAGAGAAAAATGGAGAAAGAGAGATAGAGAGAGAGAGAGAGAGGAAGATGGACTGCTCGCTCGTCTAATGATATGCAAATAATTATGATGAAAGGGAAGAGATGCCGGAGATGGAGGTTGATTAATTGTTTCTTTTCGGTGTGTGTTTATCCGCGGATTTGTTTATTACACTTTTGGGTTATGCGCGTACATGTGAGCGGCGGCGGGGACGTACACAAGCACACGCACAGTCGCTTATGGAGAGAGACGCAAACGGATACGTACTGACACGCGCAGGTACACACAATCGCATACGTACTTGCGCTCAAATACACACACACACACACACACACGCACGCACGCACGCACGCACACGCACACACACACACACACACACACACACACACACACACACACACACACACACACCACACACACACAACACACACACAACACACACACACACACACACACACACCACAAACACACACGCACGTACCCACACACTTATAGATAGACAGATAGATAGATAGATAGAGAGAGAGTATTGAATAAACAAATAATCAAACAAAATAGAAATATATAAGAATATAGAAAAATATATAAACTCCAATGATCTAAAATTAAAAAGAAAAAAGAAATAAAAAATCCATCAAAACTGCGATAAAAAGATATGATAAAAATTATTGGAAACTGATAACGAAACACATTGAAGATAGAACTCTAGTAAATATTTATTCTCTGTAAAATAGGAAATTGTTTTAGGTACCGAGATGAAGGGGAAGGGGGGGGAGGAAGGAGAGGAGAAGAGAAGGGAGAATGGGGGGAGGGAAGGAGGAGGGGGAGGGAAGGGAGAGAGGGGGGGGAAGGAAGGAGAGAGGGGGAAGAACGGAGGGGGAGGGAAGGGAAGGAGAAGAGGAGGGAAGGGAGAAAGGGGGGAGAGTTGGGGGGGGGGGGGGGGGGGGAGAGTGCCACTTTCACTGCCTTCTCGTTGCCTGCGCCTGTGCCTGGCCGCTGTGGGTTGTGATAGTGATGGGAGTTGTGAAGATAGTAATGTCAGAGGGAATGATTGTGATGAACATGGTAATGATGAAAAGAATATGATAGATTTATTCTTGATATAGATATATTAATTATGATAATGATGATAAGGATAAGGGTGATTATAATAACATTAATAATGATGATAATAGTGATAGTAAAAACAACTAAAATAATGATGAGGATTATGATGATGATATTAATGATTATTATGATGATAATACTGATGATGATAAGTAATGATAATTATTATAATAATGATAATGATGATGATAATAATTATAATGATAATAATTATAATGATAATAGTATTAATAATAGTAACACTAATGATGATGAAGATAATAATGATAATGATAATAATAATGATACTGATAAAGATGATGACAATGATAAAAACTTTTGCACAATACCATGCAAATATTTTCATCATTGTCATTATATCACTATCATGGATCACACCGAAATGATCCACTCACTATGGTCCTCACATCAACAACAACAATAACAAAAGCAAAAAAACCTGATAAAACAAAGAAAGCAAATACGTGCAAGAACAACCCCTCCCCCCCTCCCACCCTGTACCCCTTCTTCCCCCCTTCACTGAAGCATAGGTCACGTGTTAAATGTTAGGCAAGTTTTTATGGCAATAACATTCATTTCCAACCCGATTCTGAAGTGTGTGTGTGTGTGTGTGTTGTGTGTGTGTGTGTGTGTGTGTGTGTGTGGTGTGTGTGTGTGTGTGTGTGTGTGTGTGTGTGTGTGTGTGTGTGTGTGTGTGTGTGTGTGTGTGGAATATTGTGTGTGTAAGTGTCTGTGTGAAATAATTTGTGTGTGAAAACGAAGATGGGATGATGTAGATATTAATAGTAATAATTTTGATTTGACACACACACATCACACACACACGTACACCATGACGCGCTCACACACACACACAGTGGTCACACACACACACTCACACACACACAGGACACACTGGGACACACACCAAACGACAGTATTTGGCCCATCCTGGGTGGTCGTGTCTTGGGAGGTCGTTTGTCTCAAGGGTGGCCATGGCGCTCGTACGAAAGGGGGGGGGGTGGTTAAGGGGGGGGGGTAAGGGCTAGGAAGGGGGGGGGTTATGTGTGGGTTTTTTGGGTTAAGTTCGAGGGTTTGTGTGTGTGTGTGAGGAGGGGGGGAGTTAGGGGGTTAAGAGAAAGGGTTGTATGTGTGTGTCCTTCTGTCTGTCTGTCTGTCTGTCTCTCTTTACCTCATCTCTCGTCTTTTTTTTTGTATTTTCTGTGTTCTCTTTTTCTTTCTTTCTGCTCTCCCTCCCTTCTCTATCTTCCTCGCTTCATTCCCTCCCTTCCTTCCCTCCACTCTTTCATTCCCTCACTTTCACCTCACTTCTTCTCTCTCTCTCTCTCTCTTCTCTCTCTCTCTCTCTCTCTCTCTCTCTCTCTCTCTCTCTCTCTCTCTCTCTCTCTCTCTCTCTCTCTCTCTCTCTCTCTCTTCTCTCTCTCTCTCTCTCTTCACATACTATTTTATCTGATTTTGTTTTTCGTTTTTCTCTTATTTTCTCTTATTTTCTTGGTCCCTTTTTATCGCCCTATCTCTCACCCTTCTTTTTTCTCCTTCTTCACCTTCTGTCTTTGTTCCTCCTCCTCCTTTTCCTTCCCTCCTTCACTCCTCCTCCTCCCTCCCTCCCTCCTCCCCTCTTCCTACCCTCCCAACCCTCTCACCTTTACCCTTACCCCCCCCTCCCTCCCCCTCCCCCCCTCATGGGTTGAAATGGAGTGAAATTCTTGTGTCTTTTCAACTTGCCGACGCGTGTGTTTGTTTGTTTGTTTGTTGAGGTTGTTTCTTTGTTTTGTTTGTGGGTGAGGGGGGTTATGTGATAAAAGGTGGTGGGTGAGAAACGCAAATAAAGGGAGTAAGGAAGATAGCGAAGAGGAGGTTAAAGGTAAGGAGAGAAAAAAGGATGAAAGATAAAGACGGAGAAGAGGATTGTTAGAAGAACAATAACAACAATAACGACATGATTCCTATTCAGCTGTTAACCCTCCCTCCTTCCTTCCCTCCCTCTCCCCCTCTTCCCTCCCCTCTCCTCCTTCCAGACACACCTTCCCCCTTCTCCTCCCCTCTCCACCTACCCCTCCCCTTCACCCTTCCAGACACCCTTTCTCGTCCTCCCTCCCCCCTTTCCTTCACCCCTCCCCTCCCTACCCTCCCTTTCCTTCACCTCCCCTCCTACCCTCCCTCCCCCTTCCCCTCCCTCCCCCCATTCCCTTCACCCCTCCCTCCTCCCCTCCCCCTTACCTCTCCCACCCCCTCATTTCATATGCTGAACGGTAGCGGTTGAATTTTAAGAAATAATTTGAAAAGGTGACCGCGGTTGTTTCCCGGCGACTGAGGGCGTGGGAGAGAGGGAGAGAGGGAGAGAGAGAGAGGGGGGGGGGGAGGGAGAGACGGGGGAGAGAGAGAATGAGAGAATGAGAGGGAGGGAGGGAGAGAAGAGAGAGAGAGAGAGAGAGAGAGAGAGAGAGAGAGAGAGAGAGAGAGAGAGAGAGAGAGAGAGAGAGAGAGAGAGAGAGAGAGAGAGAGAGAGAGAGAGAGAGAGAGAGAGAGACAGACAGACAGACAGAGAGAATGAGAGAGAGGCATGTATATTCATATCCGGTAG